GATGAGCAAAAGTAACAACAAATGGATATAAGAAAAAAAAAAACTTGAGTTCAAAGATTTGAATTTGTCATGGTTTTTTTTTTGTTTGACGAATATTATCTATGTTCTTCAGTTTTTTTTGTTCTTCTTTCTGTTTGACATCATGCTCTTCTTCAGCTCTCTGTCTGTTTATTGCCTTTGTCTGCAACACTTTCTCGTCATTTTCTTTATGATTAAAACAAATTCAACGAAATTTTATTGAATATTCTTACTAACTATTCGAGAAAAAGAAAAAAAACAAGGAAGAAAAAAAAAAAACCATAGCCTCTATAGTTTGAATCATTGGTTTAGAAAGAAAAGGAGAAGGAAGAGGAAAAAAACTTACTGCTGGTTGCTAGATGTGTTACTCATGACTTTGTTTTTGGACTTTGCACAGATGGCTGTTAGAAAATTCTGTAATCAACAGACAGTAATACCAAGTTGAACTTTTTTCCTTTTATATTCATCGATTTTGTTTAATATAACTCGTCTAAAATAAATTCGTTTTTAAAATTCAATCTTTACGTAAGATCTTTCATAGATATACTCTACTTCCTTGTTTTTTTTTATTATTATTGCAGAATATCTATCATTGCAAAAAATGAATTGATTTTTATTACAACATAATATTGTATTTGTTTTTCAAATTATTCATTAGAAAGTTTTTAGAATTATGATAAGAGAAAAAATATTGAATCTATATAAAAACAAATCTTATAGTTATACACATCTCAATCATGTAAACCATATGATTCATTATTTAATCCGAGTTGCTAGATGATATGGTACATATTTCTATTATTCATGCTTGTATTTTACCCGTATCAATATCTTGTTTTATTTTTCTAGTATAAATTACTATGGTACCCAAAATACTACGAGTATCTAACTGATAAATCCTATTCGTTTAAAACTTTAACAAGATTTTAACAGAGTGAATTATGATTGCCAGTAATCATAGACTTCATTGTTAATCTCTATGTTTTCTTTATAAAACAAAAATATATGAAAACTAATATCCTTCATTCTTGTGCGAGATAGATCAGTTTAGACATAAACTGAAACAGTCTTGTTTCATTTCGGCTTTGATCTCGATCAAAAATAAAAGGAAAAAAAATTATGTCCAGTCTCTTTTCCTAGTTTAGTGAAAATTTTTTCAGCATACTATATGCAAAATGTCTCAGTGATATACTATGATCGATGTAGTCGCTAGTATCTTTCTTGTTGGACATTCAATTTAATGATATGAGAATCAACAGCTGTTTTTTTTTCTAAGTTCAATCACATATTTGGTGGCAATAGGATTATGTGAATAGTCACTCTTTGTAAAAATTGATGAAAATTTGTCAATAACCAAAATGAGCCCTGTAGATATCCTTTCGTAGAAAGTATGTATAATTAACTTTTCGCAAACATGGAAAAAAGCCATAATTTAATATTTTCGGTTTTATAGAGTAAATCTTTAAATGTAACATGAACTATTTTCTATGATAGTTATTTTCAATGAAACAATTTTCTGCAAATATAAGCAAAAGAAGGTCGTCTAGTAGGTATACAATGACATAGGAATTTCATTTTCTAAAAATGCTCCGGTGGATTTTAATTATTATTCGATATAAGTTTTCTATTATCTATAATGTCATCTTGACTTATTGAATGATATTATGTGCAAATGATACAAAAGAATAATATGAAATAATTAATTCATATTACTATAAAAGACTATTTATCTATTGTATCGAATTTTAATTTCTTTTAGATATTTGCCAACGATTATTTATTAAATAGAGGTAATTTATTTTTAAAATTTATATATCTTGAACAATATAAATCTATTCATTTAGAGTCTTTTTAAATATCTTTTCTTTTGAAAACTGAAATACTCTTGTATCTTGAATATTGAATAACAAAAAGAAAAACTATGATACATTTGATTTATGTACTTGATAAATTTTATCAAAAGCAGATTTTTAAGTAAATAGATTTCACTTTTGGAAATAAAAAAATAAATTAAAGTATCCGACAAAGGAAGTATTCTCTCTAATGAAGAGCTTTTAACTTTATCTTCTAATCATAAGTAGTTTTCAGTAAGACTAAGAAATTCATAAAAGTAGATGTGCTTATGACTCTTCATTCTCAAAATATAATTAACGTTAGGAAGGAAAAAAATAGTTTTCTTTCTATGTTTTTCTAGTTATCGTCAATAAATTATTCTAAGAAGTTCTGTCAAAAAGAATTATTTTATTAGAAGCTTTGGGAACTGTCTAACTTTTAAATCCTTCACTAGCCTATATTATAAACTTTCGAAGTTGTGGTAATGAAGAATTTAGCCTCTAGTCAATGGTAAATATGATTACTCTGCCTTTCCGAAAAAAAATCTTTTTTTCGTTTTTCTTTTGTCCACCGAAAAAGTCGAAAAAATGATCTGATACTGTCATTAATGAACTTGAATATGAGGTTTTTTCAGCATTATCGCTTTCATTCTATAGTAACGTCGTCATCGATCAAAATCCTGATTTTATTGCTGTTTCTAGCAATTTTTTTAATGTATCAGAAAAACAAAATAATATATTATTTCAACCAGACATAAAGTAAAAACAACTTAATTGTATCAATATTCTATGTAAACGTGATAAAACGTAACACACATTCTGACATCATAAACAACCGATCAAATCAGAAGTAAAACACCTGTCTTTAATGCATAGAAATAACCTCGAAAGAGAAGCAAGTTTTGACAACATTGAAAATTTCCAGAATGAATCTTTAGGTACTCATTAGTAAACCATTTTTATTACATATATTTGTTAAAAGAAAAGTGCACTTATCTTAAAATAAACGAAAGATATTAAGTTAAAAATAATACGTCAATCTAATTTTTCTTAGTTAAGATCGAGCTCGTATTATTAAGATCATATCTGAGTTATAATTTCCGAGAAACTAACAACACCATTTTTTTCTCGTCATAACGTTCGGCATATATTGAGAATGAACAGTCATAAGTACTATAGTTTTAAGCATTTTCTTAGTTTCATTGATGCTTATTTGCAGTCAAAATATAATTCTTTAGCACGGAATCAATTGGGGAGTACTTCCGTTTTTCGATTAAAATTATATACGTTGAAATAGGAAGTTGTAAGCTTAGTAATTCGTTGTACTTTATGGAACATTAATAAATAATAAAGATACATGTATAAATTCAATATTTTCAGTTCGTTTACTTTGTGCTTTGACATTAATTAATATGGCACTTAAACGTATTGCAAAAGAATTACAAGATTTACAACGTGAACCACCAGCTAATGTTAGCGCTGGACCAGTAAGAATGAATCTTTTAGTCATAATTATATAAATTCTTATTTATAGATTCAATCAAATGATATGTTTAATTGGCAGGCAACTATTCTTGGTCCTAGTATGAATAGAAATCTAAAGATTTAACTATATAAAAATGTTTTTCTACTAGGTGATTCACCATTTCAATCCGGTGTATTTTTTCTCACAATTCATTTTCCAACTGATTATCCATTTAAGCCACCGCATATAACGTTAGTATTTTTCTTTTTTTCTCTTTGATAAAATTAGAAAAATTTATTTTTTTGATCAATTTAGTTTTCGAACAAAAATTTATCATCCAAATATTAATGCTAACGGTTCGATTTGTCTTGATATTCTTCGAAGTAATTGGTCACCAGCATTAACTATTTCAAAAGTTTTATTATCGATTTGTTCATTACTTTGTGATCCAAATCCAGATGTATGTATACTTATATGTTTTTATTTGTCTTAATGAAGTTTATCTACTATCATTTTTTTTTGAGGATCCACTTGTACCAGAAATTGCTAGACAATATAAACATGATCGAGAAGGATATAATGCGGTAAGGAAATGAAGTTCTATAGTTAATTTTTTTATCCAATTATTCGTGTTTTTTATTGTTTAGATTGCTCGACAGTGGACACAAAAATATGCAACATAATTGCATTTTGATTTGTGTTACCTTGTATTCTCGTTACTGTCGTATCTCTTTACAATGAATTGTAATAAACAAATACAAGCAAATTTATTTTCTTTCATGATTGCAATGTACTTAGTATTTAGTAAAAGTGAAAAAAAAATTGAAAGTTTGAAACAAACTCTCAATGCAGGAGAGACGATTCGATTGATTATATAACTTGAATAATAAAAGAATTTTGTTTACTTTCCATTTATGTTGCCTGCTGAAGAGTACTAAAAAACACTAATCAAGTTTATTGTGTTTCTTAGTTACGCTATAAGAGAGAAGGTAGTGTTTATGCATATATACGTAAGCATATGAAGGACATGACAATCATTCAATCGCAACTGGATGTTATAAAACGAATATTACTTTGCTATCTGCTTCACGTATTTCTTTTTTTTTTGCGGCGAACGCATATAGTAATATGGTTTCTTTCCTCACATTGTATCTGTTTTATATTATCAGCGTAAGCTTCTGGTGTTCGTAAATAGTACACGCCCTCTTTCGGTAGGAAAAAAATTTTTTTTCCTTTGTCCTCTAGATAAAAAGAATGTAACTTATTGTGTTCTGTTACTCCGCACATATAAAATTCGCTGATTAGATGTAATTGTTTATCTATTTTATGTACGTGATTCACGATTATTTGTAAAAGAACGTAGTATACTCTATAAAAGTGAAATAGATAGAAATTTATAGATTTAAGTACAAAAACAATGTGTCTAAGAGAAAAAATAGAGATATGTGTCTAAGAGAAAAAATATAGATATGTGTTTAAGAGAAAAAATAGCGAACTCTGTACTTAAGAAAAAAAAATAGAGAAGATTATTAATTGACCTATTTTTTATTTCAAATTATTCTGCATCAAGATTTTTATAAATTTTTTTCATATATTATTTGTCAAATAAGAAGTAGACATATTATAAATATATTTACTTTGTTTTATTTTAGATATCCTGAGTGTGTGTGTCTATAACATCAAATATGGTTACCATCATGTCACACATCTCTGATTATTTTGAGCAATTTAATAGCTCGTTAACGGCTGCTTCACAATCATCATCTCAATCTCTTGATGTCTCATCATCAACAAATAAAATTCCACTTACATTTTATGTATTCGATTTTGAACGATATAGTGATGAAATGGGAACATTACGAGATTTACGTACATATATGATCCAACGTTGGCATAATAGTTTTTTCTTCGCTCTTGCATATTTATTTTTAATATATAGTAAGTTATTTAAATTATTCAAAATTTTTCAAATCTTAATTATAAACAAATATTTCTCATTTATAGCGGGTCAGATTTATATGAAAAATAAGCCTCGATTTGAATTACGTTTATGGTTAGCAGCATGGAATACATTATTGGCATTATTTTCAATATTTGGAGGTATGAGAGTATTACCGGAATTAATTTATGTTATTAGTCGACATGGAATTAAATACTCAATTTGCAATAATTCAAATGCATTTGGTGTTGTCGGATTTTGGTATGAATCAAAAACAGAAAAAAAAACATTTTTTTATAAAATAAGAAAAAAATCATTTCATAAATCATTTATAGGACATGGGCATTTTGTTTTTCTAAATTACCTGAATTAATTGACACGGTATTTATTGTTCTTCGTAAACAACAATTAATTTTTCTGCATTGGTATCATCATGCATCAGTTTTAATTTATTGTTGGTTTAGTTATCAAGATTATAGTTCAACAGGAAGGTCAGTAACAAAAACAAAACAAAATCAATCAAAAACGAAACCATATTCTTTTTTTTTGATTTAGATGGTTTTGCAGTTTGAATTATATTGTTCATGGAATAATGTATTCTGTATGTTATTTGTTTTTTTTTATTTAAAAGATAATGTTTTTGTTTTTTTCTAGTATTATGCATTACGTGCATTGAAATTTCGTATACCACGTTGGGTCTCAATGGTAATAACAATGCTTCAATTAACTCAAATGATCATTGGTTGTTGGGTTAATTTACAAGCATGGCAATATAAAAAAAATGGTGAAATCTGTCAAGTAACAGATGAAAATTTAAAAGTATCATTAATTATGTATGGAACATATTTTCTATTATTTGCTCATTTCTTTCTTGGTTCGTATATATTTAAATCAAAACGTGGCAGCAAACAGAATGATCAAAAACAACAATATGAAGAAGAAAGAAATCAACACAAAAAAAAGATTAATTAATTCAATATTAAATATCAAAGATGTTTACTGCCAACAATTACATTATATTAGGAAATCCAATGTTTTTTTTATACCGTATGGTAACCGGTGAACCAATAGTTCGCTGTCGTTTTGTTTGCCGGGTAACATCATATTATATTCCTTTTTATGGCATTTTCTTTTTGTTTATTGTTGTTCTCGTTTTGTAGTGTGCGTTTTAAAAAGCATTCTATTGCAATAAAAATTATACATGAAAATAAGTACGTTTATTACTTTGTTTCTATTTTTAGAAACAAATAATTTTCAAATTTGACAATCTTTCTTATACTAATGAAACAGAAATTTTGTTGTAAAATTGTTTCTCTGAAATTAATTAGTTTTAGAATGACAATTGATTTCGAACGAAATAAAAAGTAATGCAATAATTTTACATGAATAATATCGTTGTTGATAGTTTCATTTAATGTCATGCGACATTTTGCGACACTTTTTCTGTATATTTAATCATACTTTAATATGAATTCTTGTGTGCATTAGATAGCAATGGCAACTTGTTTTTTTCTCGATGACGTCAGAGTTTTTTTTTCTGTTCACAAAACAAAAAGGACTTTTCTAAGACAACGTATTTTTTCGTATTTTTTAGATGTAATGGTCGATCTCGAAGTTAAACCGTCACAGATAGAAGGTATATTGAGTAGCTATTGAAATCATTCAACAAGATTATTTTTCAATTATTTAGTTTTTGGCTGCTTAGACACTAAGAAAAATTCGAATAGTGTTTTGAGGGGAGAAAAACATTGATAATAAGAATCTATAAAAAAAAAATATTAATAAATTTTCAATGACAAGATCATCAGAAAATTCCACATCTAGTTTTTCAACACTTAAAATACCGAACTATTATCTTGCTCAGATGCAGTAGAATGATGGAGCAAAGAATACTCTACAAAATCAGATGTCTTCAAATTTTCCACAATGATTTTTAATAAAAATAACAATTATACAGGGCACCTTAATGTATGTTTTTTTTCTTTATTTTCTATGTGAATATTCTTTTAACCTTTCCTCAGGTTTTTATATCGGAGCCAAAGAATACCATACAGAACATAGAAATGTCTCGTTTTGCAGAGGATTGCTCAGTCTGTCGTCTGGCTTGGTTTGAACAAAATAATAATTCTATGTTATAAATACTAATATTGAAGAGGAACCTTGTTGAGTAATTATAGTACCTATTGCATGTCTAGTCATTAACGTAAACATACTCTTATTTTTATCAAACTACATTACTCTTCCTCAATTATTTCTGAATCATGCAAACATACCATAGCTACTGATTAATTATACGCGTATTAAAATAATCATTTTTTTAACATGAAGGTTAAAAATATTATTTCATGAAGCATTTGTTAGTTATGGTTACCATTTATAATGACAATGTCATAGATAAAAAGAAAAACATATTTTATATCTAGGTGCTGGTTTTGGTCTATTCACTCGCATGCAAATTGCCAAAGGCTCATGTGTGTGTATCTATAAAGGCAAAACACTTCGTACAATCGATGCTATACGTCTGAAAGATAAATCCTATTTAATGCGACTTGGTCCACAAGTTTATGTTGATCCTTGTGATGATGAAACGATACTTGGAAGATATATAAATGACCCGCGAAATCGTTTATTACAAAATGTCATATTTGATAAACGTCCTGAAGAACAATGTGCTTATGTTATTGCTAAACGAGATATAGCTGCTGGTGAAGAAATTTTTGCAGATTATGGACGATGGTATTGGTTAACAAAAACTCCTAATCGATTAGAAAAATTGCCCACGTGATAAAAATTGTTTGTTTTTGTTTTGTAAATAAAATAAAATAACAAGATACAAAGAAAAAAAATTTACATCTCTAGACAAAAGTCTTTCCTCCTCCTTTTCCATCATTTCTTTTTTGTCTAAAGTCTCTTGGATGACAAGTGAATGTTAGTTACAAGGATACTTTAAATACGGTATTCTAGTGTAGTGCATGATTGATTATGATCGGCTTCAATAAAGAATGCACGGCATTCAATACAATTTAGTCAACACAACAAATCAGGTGTTTGTTAAAATACTTTATGATTAGAGTTTTTCTTTTTATAGAATTGTCTGAATGTTCTAATAGTTTTATTTTATCTCATATTTGTATAACCGAATATATCCCATTCTCGCAAGAGCTTCGAGTCAGAGACGAAGAGAGTTTAATAATCCAAACCAGTAGAACAGTTAGTAGATACAAAAAAATCAGAGATAAACTAGTCATGAAACATTTTGTTAATCAATCCATCTGTAGTGTTGCTCGATTCTATTGAAAGACGTATATTCTTCGTTGAAGCAACTTATCATCAATCATACGCTACACTACAATAAAATACTTAAACCATTCTTGTTACTAAAATTCACTTGAGACTAAAAAGAGGTCCTATACGAAAAAAATGATGAGGCGGGGAGGAGGGGAAGCTTTTGTCCAGAAGTGTATATATATACTTATATACAAAATTTGCTTTCAATCAATGATTTCATCGACATAAGTCTACTACTCGATCATCTCTATAAGAAATATTTTTTTCTGATTGATAGATGATTACATCAACACGCAAATCTCATTTTAGACTATCTATCATATTTGTCTAATCGATTGAGTCTAAGCACAGAATTAGTTATTTCGATTATTTAATAACAACTCTTTCTCTCTCTTTACGAAGGTAAAATGATAGAAGATTTTGTAAATTATCAAACACAAATTAGATTCTCCAATGTGCGTAATTATTTTTATTAATACAATTGACGCTCGTTCGCTATACATCTTTCTTTGTGTATGAACTGCTTTAGGCTACAGTTGTAAATAACAGTCAATGCTGAAGCCATTAATATATATATAAGCCAGTACATTGAATATATTGTTTCAGTGCAAAATGTTCGTCAATATAACAAAATGGATATTATTTGTGTTTGTAATAACTAGTGCACAATTGTTGAATAATAATACATTAGAAAATGATAATTCAACAGCTGCATCAAGACGTACACATCAGATAACAACAATTCTTGATGGTCTTTTAAAAAATTATGATGCACATATTCGACCTAATTTTGGAGGTAGAAAGAAAAATCATCTGCTAATTTTTTTTCTTAATTATTATTCTTTTTTTTTTGATTTATATATTCAGAAGGTCCAACGAAAATAAATTTTGATATATTAGTTAGTTCATTTGGACCTATTCAAGATATAGATATGGTTTGTATTGAAAAGAATAAAACTATTGTGTTTGTTTTTATATTCATAAATTTAGTCATTTACAATGAATTGTTATTTTCGTCAACGATGGCGTGATGAACGTCTTCAATTTGCTGAAGAAGTTGGTGTACTTTCATTATCTACACGTATGCTGGAACGATTATGGAGACCAGATACAGTTTTTCATAATTCCAAATATTCCTATTTACATACAATACCAACAAGTAATCGCTTATGGAGACTTTTTCCTGATGGTTCAATATGGTATTCATCAAGGTAATTAAATAAGAAATAAATTATTAATCATAATCAACAGATCTTTTTTTCTTTCGATCTTTATAGAATAACAGTTAAAGCAAGATGTAATATGAATTTAAAAAATTTTCCTGTTGATATGCAAATTTGTAAATTTCTTATTGGCAGTTGTAAGAAATTCATATCAGATTGAATTATTTATTTGATTTTGATTTTGAAAAAAATTTATAGTTGCAAATTCCGCATCAGATATTCAATATGGTTGGCGTTTAGGAAATAATAATAGTGTTAGTTTTGATACGAAAGTTTTATTATCACAATTTGATCTTATTAGATATCCACAGTATGATGAAATTGTTGATATCAATGGACGTATGTATATATTACATAAAAATTTGTTTTTGATAGAGTTCAAATTAATAATTCAACACTCATAACCTTTCAAAATCACTTTAAGACATTATATAATTCATTTTAGATGTCGAACACGTTTACTTTAGATGAACAGTTTCTTAAATTTATTTCTTCTTTGAAGAAAATGAAACCCATCTGGATAGCAACCAACGCTATTGATCAATTACAATCTTATGGAAATCCTCCATTAGATCATGGTGCATTAAGAAAAAAAATAAGTCGAATATCTATTTTCTTCAAAAGAAAACGAATACGAAATTTTGCTCTTCGAGAGTAAACGTGTTTAACATCTAAAATGAATTACATAATAACTTTTAAGTAATTTTGCAAGTGAACTGGGCACTCAAACCAAACTTAATTGCCCATTTTCTTTTTGTATCCTAAAAGGATCACAATTTATTTTTTGTTTTATTTGAAGCCAATTTCTTAGTTTATAACATTCTAACTACATGAGCTAGCAGTAGTTAATAATTAGTCATTTTGTAGCGCGTGGTTAACTGTATCTTTCCTTCATAGAGACAAATTTACAACCACATGTGTTAGTGTATCAAAATTTACTATACAAATCGAATTCGTACTTCTTGGCGACCCTTTACATATATGTAACTAGATAAGGATTGAAGCCAATCAATGTCTGTCTCAAAAAGATGGAATTTTTGAACTTTTTTGCGGATTCTATAGGTGAAAAACCATTGTACCGTGTAAATCTGGAAATAATTAATTTTTTTTGAGTTCCGTCACAAAACGTGAGTTTATGCGTTTGGCATTTGTCGACTGGTTTTAATTTCAGATCTACATGTTTATTCGGCACAAGGAGAAGATAAGACAATAAATATTCATAATATCAAGTGCACTGTAGCTCGAAATCAGCGAGTCATTGCAAAAATATTTTATTATTATTTTTTCGCTCGAAGGATAACTTGAAAATAATCAATCTAAATAATAACATGTTCCACTGCAGGTTTTGTGTTTTGCTAGATTAGGTTTCTCTTACATAATTAATATGTTAGTTTTCATACAGCATGACAGAAAACTGATGGCACACAGAACTATTCGATAACTTCTTTATACATGGTCGGTTAGACCTCATATTTACTATGGGATACTAGTAAATGATGCAGCATATGATCAGTCGTTGAGTGAAATAATTTATTTCAAAACGTGCATATATATCATACTGCTGGTCAATGAATGTAAAAGTAATTTGATTGTTTTTCGATTTCCATAGTTTTGTCTGCTTAAAATCACAAACAAGTAGTAAAATTTATATGTACGCTTTTAAATAAATTACTGCATCCAAAGACTGTGTATATGCTAGATCTTTTACTAATATTACCTAGTAAATATGAGACTCAACTGACCATGTATCAAAAAGAAATCGAAAAAATCCAATTTTCTCTTACATTTGAGCTATTCAATATAGATATATATGGTTTTTATAATCTAGATATGCTTTGACTAGTTGTTAATTATTAAAAAAAGATATGAAATATTCATGTTATAATTTACTTTTTGTTATTGTTTCTTGTCTAAAATTACCATCAAAATGGAAACTAATATTATTATACATTAAGAAAAGAATGATCATCTTTCAATGTAGAATTTTCTAATAAAATAACTAATTATAGGTAACTTTTCTATGCTTCGTGTTGATTTTGTTCTTAAACGACATATGGGTTATTACATTTTACAAGTATATATTCCAAGTTCAATGTTAGTTATGTTATCATGGGTATCATTTTTTATTCATCGTGAAGCAACAGCTGATCGAGTTAATATTGGTGTAATGACTTTTCTTAGTTTAGCAACATTAAGTTTTGATATACGAAATTATACGGCTGCTGTTTCTTATCTAACAGCACTCGATTGGTTTGTTATCATGGCATATGCTTTTTTACTTGCATCATTACTTCAATTTGCTTTTGTTCATTATTTTACTAAGGTTCGAAATTTTTTTTTTTTTTATTATCAAGAAATTAATTATTATTCAATTTAGTTTGGTTATGGTGAACCACTTCTTCGTTATCATGATTCAATTGATAGTTTAGTAATCAATGAAGATAATGGGCAAACAAACCGAGATTATAAAACAAATTCAGCTTTATTTTATCCACGTATTCAAAATATAAATAAAAAAAAATCTCAGCCAGAAAGAAAATTATGTTTAGGAAGTATTCGATATTATTTACGTCAATTTTGGTTTTGTTTATCAGGCAATGATAGTTATAAACGTGCATTACGTAAACGTGCATCACGTTTTGGTATCAATAGTCGTAGTAAACTAGATGGTTTTGCTCGAATTGCATTTCCACTATGTTTTGCTCTATTTAATATTTTGTATTGGTATTATTTTCTGCATTTACAAAGTTAAAAAGAAATGAAATAAATTTCATATAGCTTCAAGCTATTAAACTTGTCTCGTCCTTCTCCGCCTACCTTTCTTTTTCATAACATCCTGAATTTACAATGTGTGTTACTTGTTGATCATCATCATCATCATCATCATCATCATCACTGTCGAGAAAGAAAAAGAACGAAGAAAGAGAGTGTAAGAGAAGAAAGAAAAAAATAGAAAGCAATGTGGGCTCTATTTGAGAGGTAAAGCAGCAAAAAAAATTGAATTTTTTTAAAACATACTGCATTCATTCTTATCGGTTTTAAAAATTCGAAAAAGGAATGACATCGTATCTAGCACCTGAAAGCCCACGACCTTTTTCTATTGCTGCTGAACGTTATTTTCAAAAAATTAATTTTCGAGTTGGTTTACCAATAGTAAATAATGAACGAACATTTAGAGTTAGCAAATGCCGATTTGGTGAACAATATGAACGAGAATTTTGTTTCTATTTGGCTAAACATGCTGAAGTTAATTGTAGTGATCGTTTATGCATAGTTGGGGAAGAATCTGAATGGGCATTAATTATACAAGAACGACTTTTTCTTATTAAACCGGTACATTTTATCGATTGTAAATTACATCAAGGTAAGTAAAGATATAAATATTAATAAGAATATTGTATTCAAAGTGTATCGGAATTTTTTTTCATTTCATTCGTCAACACAATGTTTTCTTTATAAAATATGAGAATATATCAAAAGGTTATTCGTCAAAAAGAAATTATTTAAGTTCACTTAAAAATTTAATCAAAATGGATGAAAAATATAAATTCGTTTTTTTTGTTTTTATCAAAATGTTTTGCTTGCAACAGATAGCATAGAGATATTCGTAAAAAAACAAAAGAAAAAAAATTATCTTCTGTATCCGTAATTGATTATAAGAAAAGATTACTGTTTAATAAATGAAAATAGACATGTAATAGAAACTCAAAAAGAAAAAAGATGAATTGTGTTGAGATTGAAATAAAATCATTACTTTTCGATAAGTTTTAAGAAGCATTAGTAATGAATACAATGTCTATTTTTTCATCGAAATTACTATTTAATTAATGTATTATTGATGTAATTTATTTGCTACGTGTTATGTCATTCAACAGGATTCCAAGATTCAACTTACTCATTCTACCAGTTAATGTTATTTTCTTTTGAAATTTTATGACTTACTCCTACATGTAATTTTGATTGATTCAAAAACATATCTACTACAACCGAAGTCATTTACTAGCAGCACTATTCATTTCTTTGATCTTAAAATTCTACGATTTCAAAATATGTTTTAAAATGTTTATTATGAAAAACTTAATCTTTAAAATATTATTCTGTTTCTTTTTTGTCGTATTTATCTTTCTGCTCTAACACTTGTCTAGTCAAAAAGAATTTTATGGGATCAACTTACATTGAGTCGTTCGTCTTTTTATGACGATTGTCATATAAATATTAACATAAAAAGAAAAATACTCAGACAGAACATATTAAAAGAAAACAAAATAAAAAGAGAACAGATGATGACATTTTAACTAATATTTATTTCTGCCATCTTAGGTAATCATTTATATTATCGGGAGAAAATTGTCATAATAGTTAAGTATTGTGTTCGATGCAATGAGACTAAAAGAAATTCTTTAAGTGTTCGTGATCATTCGAGATTTCTGATAGAGTACAAGTAAAAAATTGAATTTCGATCTGAACATTCTATCTGAATGAAATGTTTCCTGTTTTTCGGAATCTAACACTTAAGCAATAATTTTTCACTGTTCAAAAAAACTACGAAATCTCCCATCATCATTCAACAGCTTATAAAGATATACTCTTTAAAAAAACTCTCGAAGTCTACAAACTATTATAGATCCTATTAAAACTAATGCAAAAACAAAACTTAAAAAAACTTCTGATTTGAAAATCATATTTATAAAATTATATTGAATTCTTTTCCAGTAAATAAAATAATTTTCATTCAGATGCAATCAAAGAACAATTAACAACAGATGCATTTGATCGAATAATTCTTCTGAATTGTCTACATCAAATAAACAATTCGTCAACAAATCAAGATATTTCAAGTGAAAGTCAAAATACAAATTTTACTTTTAGTAGTCCATTAATGTCATATATAAATACACTACGTAAATCATTAGCTACAAATGGTAAATTAATTATTATTCATCGTGAACCAAACATAAATACATTACCATTACCAATTGAAGTTATAACAAGTTGGTATAATGCTGATACTCATAGTGCACGTCTTATTGAACAATTACATCGTGAAAGAAAAAAAAATATTGAACTTTTATGGGAAGTTGAAACAATTAAATTCAGTATACAAAAATTAAACTGGTTTAATTTACTTATTCATCGAACTTTTTATCCATTAACATTAAATAGTCAAAAACAGGTAGAAAACTTAAAAAGAAGTTATTCTTGCTCAGTTTTTTATTTATTTTATTAGATTGCTGATGGTTTAAGACAATTAAATGAAACATATTTTAAATATCATCAAGGTTTATTAGAAATGTATGATAGATTATTATTTTTAACAGTTCAAAATACAATTGAACCGTTACCAACAACAATGCATCTTCCAAAATTAATACAGTCACCTACAAATGAAATGAATTCAACAAGTTCTTTCAATGCAAATCAAACAACAGAACGATTAAGACGTAAACCAATCCCGGCGCAAACAGGACCACATGAAATATGGGATTATAAAATGTTAGTAACCGATGAAGTTAAACAATTGTTAAATTTAAATGAACATCGGCAAGATAAAAAACGAAATCTTTTTAAATCAAATCTTGATTTTATGTAGAAAAAGAAAAAAAGGAAAAATATTTTTTATTTATTTATTCAAAATTTGAATAATAATTCAATATTTATCTTTCTATGAATTCCATTATTGATGAACTTTTTTTTTTTGACTTCATTGATCGAGTTAGAATTTTATATAAAGAGGTATTGTAGGTTCTTCTCATGCTCGGCCTCGTATCCGAAATTTTTGACATGTGCCTAGTTCGATATACGTTCGATTCTATGAAAATATCGATTCACAATTCCCTATGTATAAAATATATATCAGGTGAGTCAAAATAATTGCAACATTAGATACTTTTCAAAGATCTGAACGCAAACAAATTCTATAACGCTAAAGCTTTTTTTCTAAAGATACAGCATCAAATTCGCTACAGGAATGGCAATGAAAAATCCCTATTGAATGGTTTTTTTATAATTTTTGTTACAAGAATAAAATTGAAGGAAGATGTGAAAGTCAAACGTGTGTTTATATTAAAAGAAGAAAGAGCAATGTCTTAATTATTTTAAGTTATATGAATGAATCAAGTTTAAACAAAAAATATATCAAAATGCAGGACATCAACAATTATTTGTATCAGCTCTGATGAAAACTTTTTGTATCTGTTCTTGACTCTTGAATGAAAAAAGTTTGAACAATGGAAGTTTTGGTAGAACACCGTCTTTTCTAAGAATTATTAGTTTGCACGAACATCGGCCATGATTTCCAGAAATTAAATATTTCAGATTATAGACATTTAGCAGAGAAAGTGAGCCAAAAGAATCGTTCTTTTCTCATTGAAAAACAGCCAGATACTAAGAACAATCAACATATTGAACGGTTTTAGAAAAAAGTTATTACAGCATAAAAATCAAGAGCAAATTTACTATTCAATGCACTATTGTATAGAGCACGCTATACGCTACAAAAATGGTCATTAACCGTGTTCTTTCATTTCCTTGCTGATATAAAGAAAATTAATGGAACATAAAAAATGTTTTTGTTTGAGAGTAAAGTTGAAAGGATTTTTTGAAGGTGTTTGATTTTAGGCTTTTCCTCATTCTTCGGCTTGTTTTGGCAAAAAGTATATGATACAAAATTTGTGGTTTAGACATTGCTTTGTCTGTCAAACAAAATTGATTAGCTTAGAAGTCGGTAATATAGTATAACAGAATTGGATATTTTTCTGACAAATGTTGCATTGCATACGATGTCACCATCAATAAATCATAAAGTATTAAATCATTTGCATTTTAATGCACGTTATGGAATTCTTAAAAACGCTTGCATAAAAGATTCCTTTGTATTACATTGATGAATTTTTTAAATGATAAAAGATGAACATCTGTGTAATGGAGTTATTTTTTTCATTATAATAATGACAAGAAAACTACAAAAATCTCCAGTACCACTCCTAAAGGTTGCTGACCTTCTAAGGCATGGGGAGAAAACTCATTAAATTATTCTACATGAGATCATGTCAATCAGGCCATTGATTATCAATAGGTCAAAATATGAGAAAATTTGAAGAAATAAATAAATAACATGTGTTAAAAAATTTATTCGAGTTATATTCGCGAGGTAATCGATTGTTTTCTTCAAAGATTTCGTACCATTGAACAACATAATGGGAATTATATTTCCAATGAACATTCATGATTTTTATATTATTTTATTTGATTTTTTTTTAAAATTGTATTCTTATTTTTTGCTCTCAAAACAATAGAACATTTAACGATTAGTGTGTATATTTTAACCTTATAAAAAAAGTTATTAAAATAGTTCAGTTGAATTTTTTTATTGTCATTCTTGTAGAAACATTGATAATACATCCCGAAAAAAGACAATTCAATGCTATGAGGTTTGTGCTGAAATATTTGCAAAACATACAATGTTGCAATCCTTGTGACTCACCCAACACAAACAGTTATCATATGTTTTTCTTCCAAAATACTCATCAACTATAAAATTGATGAATTTGATGTTTTGTAGCGTTCGAAATATAATAAATATTATTTTCATTTTCTACGAATATTCTCGACGATAAAACAAAAATATTTTTCTGATCCTTCAAAAAACAAAAGATATACCAGCTGTTATTTTTCACAATTATTTATCGACGAAAACGACTTAAAAAACTATTTAAAAACGTGCCATCAAGAAAGGAAGCGAACAGAGTTTAT